GGGGGGGGGGGGGGATGTGGAATGAAGTATTCTCAAGTCTAAAATATCTCTCTCTCTCTAACTTCTTTCCTTTGTTTCCTTTTGTGGTTCTTGCTTCTGATGTCCTCGCTCGAAGAAACAAGATTGATTAAAAAACCTGATTTCAATGAAATATTTGCTCCATTCTTCTAAATTTAGCCCTTTCATTGTTCCAAGTTACTATAACTCAGTCAATGACTACTTGGCTTTATATGTATTATCAAGACAAAATGACTAATTGCCTTTATAACTTGTAAACTAATCAATCACTTTTTCTTCTAGGCTTGCGCATCCTACCCTTGGGCTGACACTTACTTTGGAAGGCTCGTGGCTACTTATGGATCAAATGCCATTGTAAGTGACCTTGACTACAAGGCTTTTACCTAAAACAATGGTGTCTATCTTTTATGATTCAACATCCAAAATATAATGAAGGTTACTAGAATGAAAGAGTCAAACTTGGACTACTTTATTTCTGTCTGATGCTGCCAATGTCATTGCAACTCAAACAGTCTCACCTTTTTATGTTGGGATAATTATTCATATTCCATGTCAAAATCTGTCTCTTTATGCACTCATCTTTCTTGGATCTGGGAGGCATTTGGTGCTTGTCAAAGAGTTACTATTAATTCGATGCAACTGCTTTTGTACATGGTACATCATCTTAAGAGGAATAGTGAAGCTAATACTGGTCACATCATCTTAAGAGGAATAGCGAAGCTAATACTGGTCATCTGATGCATTTTTCTTGCTTTTACAATTAATCTGAACATGACTTGAGGTAGGGCAGAAGGAGATAGCAATCTGGTGATTGAGTTCCAGTTTTTGAAGTTTGTCAGCTTAAGTATCTTTGGACGCTCCTCCTTTGCTGATTTTGTCTCTGTTTTCTCACTAAATCTAGAGTCCTGATACTATGAGATTTGTCTATGCACTAACAAACTGAAAGTAATTTAGACTACATGGAATTATTGAAGTTACAATATATTCTTCTGTGTAATCTCCATTAGGCTTGACATTTGAAACACTATTTAGATTGCCTTTACTTGGTAAGTTGGAAAGTGATCTAGTCTCTACTATCATATCTTTTTCTAAGCACAAGAAACCAAAACGAATTTGATCTGTGGAGACACAAGTGATGCACCAAAACAGCTCTCTTTGATGATGTCCACTGTCCTTTTACCGCATGAATCCTGTGATTTGCAAACCCCTGCCAAATTCAACATGCAACTAACTTTTACTATCTCTTCCGAGCGAGTAGCACTTGTTTGTGCCAGTTCTTCAAAAGTAGAGAACAGTAATTCATTCAGCTGTCTTTATTGCAAGTGACAATCGGTTCTCCTCATTTAATGCTGCTCATGTCGAGCTCCTCAATCTTCAACTTACAATAAAACCAAATTTATTTCACTTGATAATGAAATTTTTGCTGTTTTATGTAACTCCTTTTCTGATATTGGATATATCTAGATTTATCCTCAAATGGTTGGTGTCACCTCCACAAGAGTTGCACTTCCTCTTGAATGCACTGAGAGCTTTCCCATTTATGTGAATGCGAAACAATACAGTGCTATCCTCAAAAGACGTCAAGTCCGTGCCAAGCTGGAGGCTCAGAATAAGCTTGTCAAAGACAGAAAGGTACGTCTGCCCCAATCTAATCTTTCACTTGCCAACAACAAAATTGTGGTCTTATCTCATCTGTTGTATGGCACAGCCATATCTTCACGAGTCTCGACATCGTCACGCAATGAAGAGAGCTAGGGGTACTGGAGGGCGCTTTTTGAACACAAAGAATATGCAGCAATCCAAGCCTTCATCTCCAACACACGACAAAAGTATTTTTAAGGGTACAGCAGGTGGCAACTTAACTAGATCCATGGTTCAGCACTCAGTAAGTGGTAGTTGGGGCACTTCCACCCAATCTGGTTCCGATGTTACGAGCATCTTCAGTGGTGATGACATGTTCCAGCAGCCAGAGTTCAGAGTCTCTGGTTTCCCTTTTCACATGCAGGAAGCTGCAGACTTCATGCATGTTGGAACTTGACAACACGTTGTGTTATCCATTGGTGGCGGTGCCAACACAGACTGCATTACAAAATGCATTCTTATTGGTTGCACTCAGATGGATAATCGGCAGTTCATCCTTGGCTATGTTACTCTTTCATTTTCCAGAACTGAAATCATTAACAGCACTTTTTTCTAAGGTTTGGTCGTCGATATGATATATGTGGTTCATGGTTTGTGATGAATAGAACGCAGGTTGGTTCTGCACGTCATCAAGAAGGACAATGAGAGGAGAAGTCAAACTATTAGACTGTTCTTAATCAGAAACTGTGGAGATTTTGGCAGCCTTCTCCTTTTCTTGGTGGAGCTGCGAGTAGATCATGCCGCACTTCTAAGTCTCTACTTGCTACTGTTTTTCATTTCCTGTTGCTTTGTATTGCTCTCATTGTTAGTACTTTTGACTTGGGCTTTGTGTGCAACAATATAAACTTATTGAACCATTTTCATGCTTTGTACATTTACTTCTGTGTTTGTGCAACATCCAATATCTTCATGAGGGGTGATAACTGCACAAAATCTGAAAGGAGGGGTTTAATTTAAACCTGAATTAAGTGCTTACAATTCAATGTCATTTTGTGCAATAGGAATTGCAGATTCTATTGGAACACTTAGGCGGTCTTTTCGTTGGGAAATAAGTTATTCCAAAATTAATTATTTTGGGTGGGATTATTATCCCATCCTCCCATAGGGATTAAAAATAACACTGCAATCCTGTTGGATTAGTTATATCGCGATTTTATCCAAATCAAATGTAAGATAAATTTATCTCAAGTTTAATTACGAGATTAATTATTCATTTATCCTTCGTACCAAACGAGCCCTTAGATATGTCTTTTATGCAATAGGAGTAAAACAAAATCATGCTAGAAGTATGGTACGAAGCCCTTAGATATGTCTTGTATGCAATAGGAGTAAAACACAATCATGCTAGAAGTATCTTCTTTGCTCAGATGGCAGGGAAAGTACATTTTTACTTGAACTTCTCAACTTTTTCTGTCTTTTGCTTTATTCAGTTAGGATTCTTGACCATCAAGCCAATTCCGTCTGGTTATTTTTAAAGTTTTTAATTTATATTTGAAACAAAAAGGCGACGAATTTAAAATTTTGTTCAAACATACTTTAGGAGGACGGATTCAAATGCCCAAAGTGATTGTACTTCAGCTGAAATGCAAACCTTTATTGGATAAATAAAATCCAAATGAACTAATGCTTATGAGTAAATGTCAACTAATTTTAAGAAAAAACTAAACTCTCTGCTAAGGAGTCCAAGTTCCCCACTAGAGTTCTGGATGTTCAAAAATCTTATTTATCCGGCTCAAAAGAAATCACAGAAACTTTTTAGTGAATTTTTAAATTTAATACTGTATCCTTTTTTTTTCCCGTAAATTCCATTATGTGGAGTCCAGAATTAAAACAGAAGATAGTGATTCTTCAATATTGTAGATTTTTTTTGTGAACAGTGTTAATTTTGGACAGAAAAGATATTAATTAATACGAAAGTGATTTAATTTAAATATATTAATATTATAAATAATTTTTAAACAAGGATTAATTTAGGCCAAACCCATAAGTGGCCCCTTTAAGTTGGTCCAGCTTTTCATTTTGGCATCCCAACTTAGATCTGCTCCATTTTGACACTGGAACCCCTTATCCAATGTGCCATTTAAACACAAAACTCTGACCCGTGCTTATGACTCAAGCGCGTGTTCATAACCGTTGCCAACGTGTAAAGCTAACCAATTATTGAATGCCACATGGATTTATTATCCACGTAATTCCCTCCCAAAAAATCTCAATCCGTGCCCGTTAAAAAACCCGAACCCGATAAAAAATCCACACCCGATAAAAAATAACCCACACCCAATTTCAGTAAAAATAAACCTTTCATTTTTTTACCTAATTCTCTATACCTCCCGTTCTTCTCTCTCCCCTTAACCAAAATCACAAGCCCTAGAATTCTTACAGGAGATGAAACCATGAATTCTTTGTGTTGCTCGTTTTGTTTGAAGGCTGGATAGTCGAAATTTCAGTCTTGGTCCTTTCGAAACTTCATCACGTTCTTACAGTTGATCCTTCACTGTCGATTTATCTACTTTAAGTGTTGATTTATCTACTTTAATATTACTTTTGTAGTTTATTTCGGGTGTTATTGTTATAATGATGTTTTCGAATTTTTCAGATGAAAATTTAGGGTTTTCATTTTCTGTTTTCAAATCTTCTGACTTTTGTCGTTCTTTTCATTTTTTCCTTTTCATTGTAGATAAAATCGAAGACATGTCAAAATATATTCTTTTTCGTTTTCACCACGGTGGAGTTTTTATCGAAGCTCCTGTCGCCAAATACCTTGGTGAAAGTGAGGTAAAAGAGTTTTCTATAGATAAGGACCATTTATCCTTGTTTGAGCTTGAATATTATACTAAAAGTATGGGGTATATTTCTGTTATGGGCTTTTATGTATTTAACCCTAGGTCTGAAAAGTTTGTACTAATTAAAAATGATGAACAATTGTATAATATTGGTTGTCACTGTAAAGAGGGGGTATTAGACTTATTTGTTTGTCATATTGTTGACGACCCTCATGTAGAGGTGGTCCCAACTGCTCTTATTTGTGGGCCACAAGTGGTTGAAAATGAGTCTAGGGCAACTTTAGATGGTGATTTAGCTGGTATAAATGCAGAAAACTATGTTGAACCTTTTGTGGAGACTGATTTAGATGCTGCTGCTGAAAATACAGATTTGAATTTATCAGATTTGTGCTCTAGTGATAGTGATTTAGATGATATACCTGAGCAATATGATAGTGAGTTAGATGAGGAGTTAATAGCAATAAGGAAAGAAAGAAGGAGGAAGATTTTGGAGAAAGAAAAGGTAAAAGAAAAGTTAAAGAAAAAAAAAGAAGAAACCTACTCCAACTGAGGAGATTGAGCTAGGGGAAGCTGGAGTAGACATAGGTTTTGATGATATTGAAAGGCCAAGTAAGAGAGACAAGTATACTGGAAAATTGGGGGGTGAGGATTACTATGGTAGTAGTGATATAGAAAGTGATGATAGTCAAGATGAGCTAGATGTGCTAGCTGAACCTGGTGTTGACTTACCAGCTAGAAGGAGTAGTAAAAAGCTCAAGTATGACCCAGACTGCTGGTTGGCTATTTTTGAACTTGGTATGGTCTTTGAAGGTGTTCTTCAGTTTAGGAAGGTTGTTCAATCTTATGCTGTTGAAAACAAAGTTCAGCTCATACTTAAGCCTAATGAGAAACATAGAGTTAGAGCTAAGTGCAAAAGTAAGGGTTTGTGCAAATGGGAGCTATATGCAAGCACCGACAGAGATTCTGGGGATTTTATGGTAAAAAAGTATCGCCATGGCATAAGTGTGCCACAAAAAACAAAAATAAGTTGTGCACTTCTAAATATATTGCTCATAAATTTAAGGATAGAATTGTATCACAGCCAAACATCAAATTGTGGGAGATTCAGGAATGGGTTAGGAAGAAGTTGGGTTTGTATATTAGAAGGACTATAGCATACAGAGCTAAGGCTATTGTAATACAGGAGTATATGGGGGACTGGAAACTAGAATTTTATGCTGACATAATTAGGAGGACAAATCCAGGGAGTTCTTGCTTGATTAGGACTGACTGTGAGACTACACTAGGGAAGCACTTATTTGTCTACTTTTATGTATGTTTTGATGCTCTTAAAGGGGGATGGTTAGAAGGGTGCAGGAGGATCATTGGTCTTGATGGATGCTTCTTGAAGGGGTTATGTAAAGGTGAATTGTTGGTAGCTGTTGGAAAATATGGGAACAATCAAATGTTTCCAATAGCATGAGCAGTTGTCGACCAAGAGACAAAACATTCCTAGACTTGGTTTATACAATATTTGGCTGCTGACTTGGAGCTAGGAGATGGAGCAAACTTAACAGTAATATCAGATAGTCAAAAGGTATATTTTGTTGATTACTTAATAGTAATTTTCTTTACTTATTTTGTATTTATATATGAAATTGAAACAATATCTTGTATTTTTTGTTGCAAGGATTGATTCCAGCAATTGAGGATTGTCTGCCCATGGCAGAGCACAGAATGTGTGCCAGGCATATATGGTCCAACTAGGCTAAAAAATGGAAAGGTGAAGAAAGAAGGATGCAATTCTGGAAATGTTCCAAGTCATCATTTGTTGTCCAGTTTAAAGATGAGCTTGCATGGTTGTCAATGCTAGGGAGAAACATATGTGAGGATGCTTTAGATTACTGTAAGCACGTGATTTTTACACTATGAGAGAATTACTCCCAAAAAATTCAAAATAAAATAATTTTCCTTTGTGTGCAACTTTTTAGAATTTTCGTGGCATTTTCAATAATTATTTGTATTTATCCATGCATGTTTATTTGTTAAATTAATAANAAAAAAAACTAAAGCTATCCGCCCCCCTCTCTTCTTCTCCTTCTCCAAACCAAGCTCCCTCCCATGGCTGCCCCTTCCCCTTCACGCCCTTGCCCTCTCGCCTCCATGGCAGCTACTGCCCAAGATCCTTCGTCTTCAACACCCAACAAACCACCCCCCTCGTCGTCGACCAACCTAGCTCACGACCAAACAACCATCGTCCAGCCACTCCAACCCTCAACTAAACGAACCAGTCCATCGCCACCAACGACCCCCCCCTATCCGCCATTGACGACCAGCAGCGCTGCTGCATCGACCAGTCACGCTGCCTCGTCGTCCACCAACAACAACTTCATCCATGAACGTCGCCTCCATCGTCCACCAGTAGCAACGTCGTCGACCAACCACGAACAGCCATCGACGACCAACTCCCCATGGCTGCTGCTCCTTCTTCTTCTTCGTCCCGAGCTCAACCATGAACGACCACCATCAGCTCCATGTCCAGTAGCCACTGCTACTGCTTTACCTCAACACACACATACACACAGCCTCACGTCCAAACAACCATAACACCAAACACAGCTGATTCCTTCTTCAGCCCATCGCACAGCCTCGCAAACACCATTTCCGTCCAGTTTCATCGTCAAACGACCACCCCTGGAAACTCAACTGCAGCTCGTTGTTAACCATCGTCGAGGTCGTCTACCAGCAGCAACTTCATCTCACGTCGAGGTCGTTGGCAGTCTTGGTTCGAGTTTTCCGTTTCTGTTCGAGTTCGTCGTTGTTCATTTCCGGTTAGTTGGTTTAAGTTTCATTTCTGTCCGTATTTTGTTTGATATTCTCATATCTGAAATCAGTATATGTTTGATTCATTTCTTGATTATTTCTTCGGTTTGTTTTATTCATTTGTTCTTGTTTAGTTTAATATAGAAGTGTGTTGGTTATAATGTTGTTAGATTTAATTTGAAGTTCAATTGATTTTTGAGTTTAGTGATTTAAATCTACTTGTTTGTTATGTTTAATTTGTTAATGTTATTGAATCTGAAAGTATGTTTGTTGTTAAAAAAATATTGTTCAGTCAAAATGATTTCAGTTGTTTCTTTATTGTTCATCATATGGTTGGTTCCCTGAATCCTTAGTCTTTGTTGTGATGATATTTGACATAATCTGAGTTTCTAGCTTAAATTTGTTGATGAAATTTGATTACGAATTGGTTATAGTTGCTATAGTTTGGTTAATTGATTTAGGAGGATTGGATATAGCTGATGGGGTAGAATGGTAATTTCAGTAGTTTCAGGGGCATTTTCGGGATTTTAAATGAGTCTTAAAAATAATTAATGAGTGCTCTGTCCACTAAGTATTAAATAATATTAAAATAATACATAAAATAACACGTAGTGGGGGACAAGACATAATGGTGGAGAATTAATACATTGTTTAATATAGTGGGGGACAAAACATGCGGTAGTGGGGCAATAAGGGAATTAAATAAGGAAAAGATATGTGTTAGTGGGAATTGATATATTGTTTAATATAGTGGGGGACAAAACATTAGGTAGTGGGATTCAAAAGGGGGATGGGTAGAAGATGGTGAGATTTAGTTTAAATGCTTCAAGTTTGTAAATAAATAGGAGAGCTTGACACAAGTAAAGGGAGATTGGCTGAATATTAAGGGAGAATTTTTGAGAGAGGAGAGGATTTTCTGAACATTAAGAGAGAATTGGGGATTTTTCGGAACAGAAAAAACATTCTAGAAATCTAAAGAGAGAGTAGTATACACCCGATATACACTTTGAATACAATGAATATACAGAGTCAGAATTTAAGGGTTAAATATTAACTGGTCTTTCAACCTAAAACAAAGGTTCACTTTGTTTCTGCCCGTTGATTGCTGTTGGTATTTCTGGACTTTCGTTTGGTTTGTTCCTTGAGTTTGGTTGGTTATTTGTTATTGTTTCATTGGGGTGTTGCTGGAATTCTGCTGGTTTCATTAAACACTGTTACTGGACTGTTCTGTTTCCGTTACTGTTGCTGTTGTTGTGTTGTTGCTACTGCTCCTGCTGATCCTTTTCTTCCTTTTCCTTGTGGTCCCTTTCCAGGTACACATTTCTGAGATTAGTTCTGAGGTGATTTCAAACTGCAAAAATGCTGAATTAAAAGGCTTAACAGATTGCCTATTAAAGTGTGTTCGATTAATGTATTAGAATGTACATTAGGAAATATTGTATATATTTATGCTCATCTTAGACATGTATTTACATTGTACAACTATATTGAAAATTGGACTGTAGCTAGAACTTTTCTAAGTAGTTTGAACTGTTTTCTATATGCCTATGGGTACATGAATTGATAGATAGTCATTACTGGAAATTATTTTGATTTAGTTTAATTAGTGAAATATAATTCTGAATTCATGCTAGCTGGAATAGAAATGAGTCAAAGCTTGTGAATTTCTAATCATGTTAGTAATGGAGATCTGTAAATATTAGGCAGGATAAAAAATGGCCAGTAATTTCGTAGAATCAGTAGGTCCACTATATTTTAAGTTAGGATCGTAGTAGTAATTGCTAAGATCATTAATCCAATATGCATGAGTTGAGTTCAAACAAGACGAGTTAACGATTAAGTTTAACAAACTTTCGAATAAGCATTAGTGATTAAGGTTAATTCCAGTTTCAAATAGTTGTAAACAATTAATTCCAACGGTTCAATTCATCTAACAATGTGAGTTTAAATTAGTTAGAGGATAATTAGTTTATTTTGGTAATATTATTTGTAAATTCCGTATTCTATTTATAATTTCAATTTTAGTAATATTCAATTATAGAATAAGGCATGAAACAATCTCCCTTTGTCTCGATTGCAATTTCAGCTTGCATTTGTCTTGATCCGATAAATAAGTAGCAGCCTTTTCAAGCATGTAATTAATTAGAATTTTTCTTTTTTTTAGAGACAAATTTAATAGAGAAAATGTAGTCACTTTAGGATTGTTCTTTTAAAATAAATGAGATGAACCTCGCCTAGCAAAACGCATAGATTGCGGGGCCCTCACACATATATGTATTAATTACTTAGAACTCGGGATCGGCCGCTTAGCGAACTTCACGGCCTTTTCCCAAAATAACCATGCGTTAGTCTCTTTAGGCGCGTACTTTAAGTAACATTACCTTCTTAAACCCGGGTGCACATTTATGTGACCCAAACCCAAATCTCAACAAAGTCGAAATGTGTCTCTAACCATGGGTGCATTGATGTGACGTGGTTCGAGATGTGTTTTCACGACGTTGCAATTCTCGTTGAAAAATAACAATAATAATAAAAGCGGTAAAGAGTTTAAATTTGCACATATGTTTAATATGAATAAAAAATCAGATAAATAAGCCAAATACGACAGTTGAGCGACCGTGCTAGAACCACGGAGCTCGGGAATGCCTAACACCTTCTCCCGTGTTAACAGAATTCCTTATCCGGATTTCTGGTTTGCGGACTGTAATACAGAGTCACTCTTTTCTTCGATTCGGGATTAAAACCAGTGACTTGGGACACCATAAATCTCCCAAGTGGCGACTCTGAAATAAATAAATAAATCCCGTTTCGATTGTCCTTTAATTGAAAAAAACTCTCTTCCGCGCCCTTTTGTGGGGGCGCGGGCGAAAAAGGAGGTGTGACAATTACAACAAAGAGGTATGGGTAAGGGCTTATTTCAGTAATGTGTCTAAGTGTGATGTTGTTAAAAATAATATGTGTGAAACATTTAATTCCTGGATAGTAGAACCTAGGCATAAGTCAATTATATCTATGTTAGAAGAAATAAGGTGCAAAATCATGACTAGGCATGCAGATATGAGGAGATTTGCTGAGACATGGATAACAGATATATCCCCAATAGCAAGAATGACATTAGAAGAAAATAAAGATGCCTCTAGTAGGTGTAAAGTGCTTTGGAATGGAGATGATGGTTTTGAGATTAGTGATGGTGATATTAAACATGTTGTTGATCTACAATGGAAGACTTGCACTTGTAGAAGCTGGATGTTAAGAGGAATTCCTTGTCCTCATGTTGTCTGTGCATTATATCACATAGAACAAAATCTAGATGACTTGGTAGAGCATTGGTACAGAAAGGCCACATTCTTGAAAGCTTACCAATATTCTATACAAACTATGCCCAGTATGAAGATGTGGCCAGAATCAGAAAATCCTTCAATTGAGCCACCTGAACCAAAACCGATGCCAGGGAGACCTAAAAAGTGTAGGAGAAGGGCAAAGGATAAGCCAAGAAAAAAATTTGGCAAATTATCAAAGAAAGGAGTGAATATGACTTGCTCAAAATGTCACCAGTTGGGTCATAACAAATCTGCTTGCAAATCTGAGGTAAGCCACACATATTTTGAGTCCTTTTTAGCATTATTTAATGTACACTAACTATTGTATATTCTTTCAGCCTTCAATGAGAGATACAATTCAAGCAAGTAATCCAACTCAAAGGAGTCATCCAACTACTACTGCAACAACCATGCCTAGCATTCCATCTTCAATTTGTGAAGATACTCCAGCTGTAAGAAGATGTGGTCAAAGTCAGTCTACCACAAGAGGAAGAGGCAGAGGTCTAGGCATAGGAAGGGGATATTTTAGATCTGTTGCCGCTGCTATTGGAGGAAGGGCTACTAGCAATGTCTCAAACTTACAACAAGCACATGAAACTCATCAAGCAACAGGGTATAAAAGGCCTAGACAAACAGGTTTTGGCATTTATCAAGACACAATGACTGGATGAAGCATATTGAATGTAAGCTGGTGCACCTTTCTAAAAGAGGCTTATACCTCTGTTTCTTTCTTTTATAATCAATTGCAACTTTTACTATTTTGCAGCCTGGTGCATCATCTGAAAGAGTTATAGCATGTGGTACATTTAGAGATGCATCTGCAACAAACATTGATATTGGATTTAAGCCTAATGGCCTAAAATGGAAAGGAAAAAAAAGCAGTTACAACATCCCAGCTTCAAAGGATGAGTGCAACTAGAAATCGAAGGACTTCAAGTCAACCAATGGAGTGCAACCAGGAATCCCAGCTTTAGAAGTCTTTTGTTAATGTCGTAGGACTAGTTACGTCAAGGTTGTTGAATCTTTTGTTTAATGTTTTTTGGTATTGGATATGTAACACAGCAGCCCCTTGTTTAAAGGTTGGAATTCTGTTTCTTGGTATTGGTAATGTTTTTTGGTATTGGATATGTATTGGAATTCTGTTATGTTTAAGCAGATTTGTTGGAATTCTCTGTTATGTTTCTGTTCTATTTAAGCTATTGAGCTTGTTCCATGAAATTGAATCCAAGAAAAAAGCTCGTTAGTTGCATGACTTGATAGGAATGTGTTAAATGTTTGTTTGTAGTAAGAGTCAAATTTTCTCCTTTCAAGTGAGCCAATGGTGTTATTTTCATTATTGCCTATCAAAAAAGAAAAACAAAAGCAAGGGTTTGTTCCGTTGTAATACTTAGAAATGGTATTATATAGTCAATTGTCCATCATCTTTCAAAATGTTGTTTGGTTGCTGTCTACTCTCGATTTAATGTTGATGAAGTTTTGTGATCTTACTTGGTTTTAGATACACAAGTTTGAATTTGTAAAAAAAGTATTTTCTCCTCCATTCTTGATATGGTTTATGTTAAAGATTGAATTATTAAGTCACTTATCAAGAAAGGAATAAAAAGACTGGATTTTAGGTCTGTTCCGACTGAGTTGATCACAATCCACTTCTTAAAATATTCCCATAATCAGTACATAAAATCCAACCAAAAACTAACATTCACACTACCATGTTCAACAAAATGAAAGGAACAACCAAACAATTCCATGCGATGAACACAACTACAAACACAAAAATCCATTTCTTTCTTGCCCGAGCCAATTTTGCATCATTTTCTTTGACCCTTTTCAGTAAACCATTAATAGTCCTCTTCGCTTGATCGGAAAAATCTTCGTCATACCATCTAAAGTACTCGCAAGCACCTCGATCCTTCAAAACAAGATAAAACATATTGTTTTATCAAATTGAAATCAACAATTTATCAGATTTAAGTGCAAATAGATGACATACTTACTTTGTCAAATTTATAACCATAAAACCGTCGACCTGAATTTCTAGGAGACCATGAAATTCTCAATTTCGCATTAAAACCACAAAAACAGATACCCAATCCTTTATGGGAACTTTCTGCTCCTTCCGACATAGCTACAATGGCTATGGAATTCAAGCTCAAAATCACAAAAAAAGAAGAAGTACAGAAGAAATTACAGAAGAAAAAGAAGAAGGTGGAGGTTTACTTTTCTATTAATCTCAACTTAAGCTGTAGAAAATTATAGAAAGAAGCAGCCTTTAGAATATTCATGGAGATGGATCTATAGATAGTTAGGGCTTTTTTACAACTGATAATGGAGAAAGGGAAGGAAGAAGTGGGGGTATAAATGGGGCTCAAACAGTAATAAGTAATTGCATTGGCAGGGAGTCTTTTCAGTCTCACGCGTGACTTGGGCGACGAACTTCACTCAATGTGACAGGTCAGAGTTTTGTGTTTAAATGGCACATTGGATAAGGGGTTCGAGTGTCAAAATGGAACAGGTCTAAGTTGGGGTGCCAAAATGAAAAGCTGGGCCAACTTAAAGGGGCCTCTTATGGGTTTGGCCATTAATTTATTATAACATGTTATTCATGTAATTTTGTGACGTTAACAAATCAGGTTTCTGGATAATTACTCATGTTATATGTCCGTTATTAATCTACTAACACACACACTAAAAAAACATTCAAAAAATAATACTAGGAGCCCATTTGGCCATGCAAATTTTTTCATTATATATATATATATATATATATATATATATATATATATATATTTTCAAAATTAGTATTTGGCCATAAAATTTTTAATTTTCAGTTGAATATATATTTTGGAATTTTTCGAAAATTTAAAAAATTCAAAAAGTTCATTTATCAAAATTTTCACTCAGATAACTTATAAAAATTAAAAAATAATAAAAACTTATATTCATATCCAAATACAATTCTAATTTTCAAATACCGTTCAAACTTATCTGCGAGCAATACAAACAAATGTCATCCGGATTTTTCACACTTCTATCAAATCCAATTAGTTGTCTTTCCGTCAATACTCGCAAGTTGCAACTCGCCCAAGTCACCAACAAGGGTTGTGGTGGAGTGACTTTATCCTTGATCAGAGTTTTTGGATTCGAGGCCCTGGTTATGGAATCATTTTTGTTAGGAAGCACTTTACTCTTAATGTGGAACTTATCAACACAAATTCAAATTTAATCGGACCCTAATAAATATACGGACACAAGATGAGAACTAAAAAAAGTCGCCTTTCTTCTCCCTCACCGTTTTTGGTCAAAATATCAAAATACCCCCCTATATATTTTCATTTTTTTTTTTCATTTCCCTCCAACAGCTTCTCTCTCTTTTTGTGCTTTGTTCACTCTCAACTCCCAGTTGCCTCTCTGCATTCTGTAGATAATAATTTATACAAAAGGGATGGAAGGTGGTCAACAGTACAATCCTCGAACAGTTGAAGAAGTTTTTAGAGATTTCAAGGGTCGTAGAGCTGGCCTTATTAAAGCTCTTACTACTGGTAACAAACTCAATTTTGCCCATTTCCCATTAATATTTGTCTTTTTTTTTCTTCCTTGGGGTTTTTATTCTTTAATTTTGGTGGGTCGTACTTGGATTTTGCTCAAGTTTCGTGATATTTTGATTCTGATTTACTCTCTTTGATGTAAATGTTGCAGATGTCGAAGAATTTTATCAGCAGTGCGACCCAGGTAAAAACGAACTCGTCTGTTGCTCCTTTTATCTGCTATATGCTGTTAATGGGTGGAGTTATTGTGGCTTTGGTAGCTGTAATGCTTTGTTATTCTTTTATGTAGTACTGCAATTTTTCTAATGGTTTTGGCTAATTAGATTGTATATTTATGCCTTCAATGTTTTTTGGCTTATCCACCTGTCTTAGCTTAGCAAAGTCATTCCTAGGTCTAAGAAAGGAGGAGGATTTCGGTAGGTTGGTCGTTAAAGTAAAATAGTCAAAACTCTTATGAATCTTCTGAAAATTGAATCCGTTTGGATGTCTTCACCTAAAAAAGTACTATATCTGCACCTTACTTTAGTTGGGTAAGAGGTATGATGAATTGGTGCATGGGTGTGATTTGGTACACAGAATTTAATTAAGATTGTTGAAATAATGATTGCTATGTGTTAGGAAAATATCTAACAAAACAAAACATATCCATAAGATAAATGTCATAGAAGTACGAGCATTAATTTGGATATTGTGTCTACAAAATTAGACAACATTAGAGATTATCACATTTAATGGTGCAATAAAACTATATGCACGACAAGAGGAGAGGGCTCTTGAGATGGTTTAACCTTGTCCTACATAGACGTCTTGGTGCACCAGTCTCTAGGTACAGCATTGTGGTGATTGAAGGTGTTAGAAGGGCATGAAGTAGACCTTAAAAAAAACAAAAAGGGGAAGACAAAAATCAATGCAGATTTAGCTAAGAGCAGAATGTAATGGAAGCAAAAGATCCATTTACGTGATACGATAGCCGAAAATTTAAATTAAGGGTTGTACTTACACAGCTAGATGGAATTAATCGTTAGTTTTTGTTGCTATACTTTGGTTCCTAGTTTTTGTTGCTATACTTTGGTTCCAATTGTTTTCCAGGTGCGTTCTTAGTTCGATTAGCTCTAATAGAGATAAGTGTAAGATTTAGAGAACTTCTGGTTTGGAGAATCTCTAATTTGCCTTAGAAGACAAAATAGTCAGTACTAGAATAAAATAGGTCTTATTAGAGTGGCATTGATGCATAGGATTGATATAGCCACCCTTTCTAAATTGAGGCACAGCTGACTGATTGATTCATACTGTTTGTGCTGAATCCTGTCATTTGCATCATGGCTTTGTGTATGACTTATTTTATGATGAAATAATTAGCAATTAGTCAATTACCACTTTTACAATTCTAATTAATCTGTTATGCCTTCCTTCTTCTATCACATTTTACTGATGATTTTCATTTTTATTGTAGTTGGTGGAAAGGTGCCATTATAGAATTGTAAGATTATTCAAGGTTATTTTAGTACTCTAAAGTTGGGGTTGGAATCATGAAGTACTGCTGCTTGTAATCTTAGTAGTAGGCTGAATGAGTGAGACAATGTTGGTACATAATAGTTTTCTTCTACTCGTGCATAGCCGTGGGAGGACACAAGATTTGTATGTGGAGAACTTTCATGGGAAAAAATGTAAGGAAATATTTGTCGTGAAGTTAGGGCGGAAATTATTTTTAAAACGTATATTCAAACTTTTCAAACTTTAGAAGGGAATAATTAGCACAATTTTATAAAGCAGTGAGGTTGCAGCCTCCAACCTGCCAGATCTGCCTGCCTCTGTGGTCACAGCCTTTAGTATCTTTTGTTAGTTCAAATTCTCGGTGTATTTTTCCATTTCCTTTTGTATGCCAAAATTAATTGTTGCGGATTCATGTGTTCAAATTGCGTTTTGTCATGAATAGTTGTGAATATGATCTCAAACCTTTACAGTTTTGAGCCATTCCTTATCTAAGCAAATACTTGCAACTCAAGCATCTAGCGTGTCTGACGAGCAGTTTTCATCTTGTACAAAATTGCAAGTCACCATTTTGCTATTTGAAGGAAGAAGGATATATTTTTGGCTCCTCTCTTATCTCTCCCTCTCTTCCTCTACTCTTCTCTCTTTCTCAAACATGACGAAATTGATTTTTGATTGAAGTGTCATATTATCTCTGTTATTTTTTTGAGTCAGTGCTAATGGCACATATCTTGCTCATAATTGCATTAATATATTCACTACTCTTCTGAAGTTGTCTCCTGCAGTTTTTTTGAGGATTTTTCAAACTCTTCTTGCTGATTGCATGATGTCTTGATTTACCTTCCCATCTGGTGAAATATTTGAATTTTATATATCCCGGGGCCCTAAGCTGAACATTTTATTTTGAAGGAAACAATTTATGATTCAGCTCTCATTGAATTGCAGAAAAGGAAAATCTTTGCCTATATGGATTTCCAAGTGAACAGTGGGAAGTCAATCTACCAGCTGAAGAAGTGCCCCCAGAGCTTCCAGAGCCTGCTCTTGGAATTAACTTTGCCCGTGATGGCATGCAAGAGAAGGACTGGCTATCTTTGGTTGCTGTGCATAGTGATGCATGGTTACTTGCTGTTGCATTTTATTTTGGTGCTAGGTTTGGTTTCGATAGAGCTGATAGGTATGTTTTGTGTTTTCTCTTTAGTTTCATCTCTTTTAGCTAAAATCAATTATCTAAATTGAAAATTGGAGCTTTAATAGCTGTTGTAAAGTTGGAAAAACCTTGTTTTGAAGGGTAAAGCAAGAACCTAAAAGGCGACATTTTTACTGTTTTACATATAGTTCTTGAGTTTTCCACTGGCACGCTTTTAACTGTGTCCTCTACTGTTTTATCTATTACTCTTTTATGAGTATATAGCTTGTTAATATGGTTGTTTTCTATATATTTTAGCTTGTCCTTTACTTCCCACATTTGGGTACAATTTCATCTCATGATAGTACAATATCATCTCACGATATTACATAACTGTTTACTTCTTTTGCTGACTCAAATTCAGATGATGGCCTTGCCTAGTTTTCCTTTTAAATATTTGGATATTCTAGACGAGCAATTCTTTATCTTCTCATTGCTCCCTTTCTTGGATAACATTAATTTTCATTATTCCTTATGGCAAGTTAGTTAGTAAAATAGCCAGAGTTTACTTAATTGAATTTGTACTTCTGTTTCATGATACATGGCACTAGTGGTAGGGAGAGCAAGAGCTTTTGGTTTTCTATAATATGCTGTTGCTGCATATTAAGAGTACGATTATGCTTTTACTCAATTTATTATAGTAGGCTAACCAATCAAAAGAAGTTGTTGCAGTGACATAAAATCATCATATGTATAACAATTAGAATATTGAACTCGAAGTGGTGAGCAAGTAGAATGCTATGTAAGATTTATTACTCATAAAGTATGAAAGATAATTTATGAATATTGCAAGTTTACCTATAAAATTGTCTTCGCCTCATCTCAATAGGTGATGGACCACCGTTGAAGCCAGTTGTGCCAAGGAACAGGTATTTTCATAAGAGTGTAAATTATGTCTAAATCAGCAGTGACTACTTTATTTTCTATTTCGAGTATTAATGAAGGTACCCACTATCAGAGGGCACTACAATGATAGTTTTTCATGTAATTATCATTCGAGCGGGTGACCCTGAAACTTGAAAGTACATGCAGAATAAGCAGATATTTCAGGAGACAATATAAAAGTGGGTCCGATGACCGGTACTACAGTTTAACATAAAGAGTTAATGTGTAGGTACAAGTACAAAAACCTCTGTCAAGGAGAATTTATCCCAAGGAACATAGAAAATATCCAGTAGTACTTAGAGTGGTGGCTCCTGTCCAAAAAGGCGATAGAAGGTTATCATAGTTGAATGTCACAGTTCAATTTGTTGATTTTGTGGCATCCTAAATAAAACTTATTGTTTGCTTCATGTTGTACTTATGAAATGTGCACTGCTTTCTTTTCCCATGCTTATTTACGTTGTTGCTTTGTTCCTTAAAGTAATTTTCATTTTTCTATGTTGCAACACTTTATATATATTACAGCATTATTACCTGGGAATGACCTAAAAATAAGTTCTGGGAAATGACAGGAAGTTACATGCAACCCGAGCTAAAATAACAATCTTGTCCACATAAACTTGACATAATATAACTTGCATACTACCTTGTTTTTTTTCTTTTTCAGTTTTACCATATTTTCTGAGGAGCCATTTATGTTGGGTTGCAGGAGAAGATTGTTCAATATGATAAACGATCTTCCCACAATTTTTGAGGTTGTGTCTGGGACAGCCAAGAAACAATCAAAAGAGAAATCATCAATGTCAAACCACGGCAGCACCAAGTCCAAGTCAAATTCCAAGGTAAGGAAAGGATCTTTATAGTTTCTTCATCCCATTCTCCCTTTTAGCCTGACCATTGGAAGTTTTTCCTTTTTCCTTTGTTCCTCGAATGAATGCGAAGCTATACGTGTATGTCGTGTGTTTGCTGGCATCACTATTTGCCTGTTCACTCACTTAAGGTTCTTGGATAACAGGGTTTTAAGTTTTAGGTTTATGATTTTGGTACTTATTGAAGAAGATCTATGTTTTTGGTCACAGGTTATTTCAGCTGTCTTCAGACAATTCTATTCAAATTTCAGGGTTTTTAGATTTTTGAATCATTGGGGTGCTGGTAACATTCTTTGGGCATGTGTACAATTTTATGTTTCAGGTTTAACATCGTGGTAGAATCATGCTCTCTGGTACATTAAGATTCTACTTAAGAGAGTAAAATTTCTTCACTTCTAGTTGTAGTCATTAGTAGTGACAGATGCTAATAACAAGAAACATCTTCTTTAGGTCTTTGAGTAGCTGTTAATTCTCCTATCCTGTTTGAGGTTTGTGATGCATAGGCCCTATCTAGCTAGAAGGTTGACACCTTATCTCCTTCAAATTTGCAATTAGTTACTTTTTCCAACCAAAGCTTTGAAAGGTCGAGTACTCCTACCCACTTAACAGTCCTTCAGCTGAGTACATCAGCCATCTGTATGTAAAACGCGGGAACATCTCCTGGTACACTAAGATCTCCTGATAATCAAGAAGTTGAAGTATTATGGTCTCTCTCTCTCTCTCTCTCTCTCTCTCTCTCCCCCCCTCTGTACTTCTTGTCCTTTGACACTTGCTTATTCTGTTGTCACTGATATGAATTCTAAGAATTGTTTGTGGATTTATTGTTAACTTTGCCTATTTTACATAATCTGATTCTGCTCTTAGGTGGCACAGCGTGGCTCTGAACCGCCACCCAAGTACTCAAGGCCACAACTGAAAGATGAGGATGAAGATGGTTTGGAAGAGGAGGAAGATGACGAGCAAGGAGAAACACTATGTGGTGCATGTGGTGAGAATTACGCATCTGACGAGTTCTGGATCTGCTGTGACATATGTGAGAAATGGTTCCACGGGAAATGCGTTAAGATCACTCCAGCTAGGGCTGAACATATCAAGCAGTACAAATGCCCCGCCTGCAGCAACAAGAGAGCACGCACCTGATTGTCAGGTCACTGGGCTCGCACTTAATCAGGGAATTATTAACAAGATCATTTTCTAATCTGAGGAAATCTCTTTTCGAGAAGCTTGAAAAGGTCATAGGTATTGTTTCTAGGTTGCTATGTTGTCCAGTTCTTAGTCATAGTTGGTGGTTTAGGTCTGCTTTTTTCTATGTAGGTTGCAGATGTAGTTGGTTGTGTAGTCTTAGATTATGGTGTTAAGACTCCACTCTCAATTACTGTCTGTTTCATTTAAAGGGAAGTCAATCTCAGTCATATGGTGGAAGGATATGTTGTTAACTGCCTGCTTGCATAAATTTGTGTAAACTGATGTTCTATGTGCTAATTATGCTTTGACTGCATGATTTGGTTTCAGTAAATTGATGGAAGATGAGATCTGCTGTTGGTTGTTGAGACCTTTCTTGAGGATGCTGGCCATTCCAGAAATCACATCAGCAATCTATTATACTCTTGGTAAAGCTGCAGGAAATGTTGCCGCAGAGGAATATGCATCTTACCTTCACAGGCACTAAGGCTGTATTGTGGCTCGGGCCAAATGGGCCTAAACAGGCCGGGCCAAACGTGCTTGGGCTTGAGGCGGGCCGGGCTGAGGCGGTGTCGGGCCAAACGGTCCCAATGTGTGGAACCGGCCCACGGTGGTCCTAAGCCCACATGGTCCCGGGCTAAATGGACCGGGCCCGCGGGCCTAAACGGGCCTAACAGGCGTTTTTTGTTTCGGGCTATTCTTTTTAAATTTTTTTTATGTAAGGCACTTTCTTGTAAACTATATATGTATATACTAGTATAAATTGCTTATATATAGCTATATAAATATATATAGTATATATAGTNATATATATATAGTTTATATGTATTAGATATATAATATATATACTATATCAAATTTAAACACAAAATAAATTGCAAAGAAATATTCAAGGGAATGTCTTATATATTTTACTATTACGACATTAACAAAGAATGCCAATATCTTTCTTAGTCTTCCTCCCCCAATGGAATGAGCACAACAAGGTACTAATACCACTATTAAAAAGAAAAAAAAACTAAGGTAGATGTGCCAAAGTACAAGTTACATGTTAGTCTATGTATTATCTCTAACAAATCTCATAAATCCTTCAAGGTTCGTAGGACTTTCCGTTGGTGGTGGTGGAAAAGAAGCTTGTTCATCAACGCTTCTGGGCGAAGCAGCATCTTGCGCAAGTTCCGCTAGCATTTCTTCATAAGCTTCATCTATCTCCGGTTGTGATTCTACAAGTCTAAAATTTCTTTTTTCCGAACGGATCCAATCTTTGAAGAGTACTGATTTTTCCAAGCTCTCCCTCATAGACGCTCTATGATCACTGATTTGAAGTCTCGCTTGACTGAATGCGCTCTCCGATGCCACTGTTGAAGTTTGAACACTTAAAATATCTCGAGCCATCCTTGAAAGAATGGGATAGTGTTTTTGTTTGTCCTTTTACCATTCCAAAACATCGAAGGAGCCGTTGGGATTCTCTGATTCAAGTCCCTGCGATAAATAAACTTGAAGCTCATTTAGTTGTGAACTATCACCAATATTATCACCTTGAGAACCCCTGAACTCCGTCCAAGAATTAAGGGCTTTTAGGCCCGCAGTTCTTTTAGATGCTTGCGAACTAGACGAAGTAGGAGTTGGAGCATTTGGTCTAGCTTGATCTAAGGCAAGTTGATAAGCATTATAAATAGTTTGAGCATTTATTTTAATTGAGGCTTTTGCATCTCCAAGTGTAGCAAATTCCTCAGCTGAAAGTGATAAAGCGTTATAAATTTTTGAATACCAAAAGTGAGGACTTCCTAATTTCATTGTACGATTTAACAATGCAACAACACCAAAAATAGGGGGGATATGGAAAAAATATTTTTTAAACTTAGATTTCATAGAATTAATAGCTTCTTGATAAATTACTCCACCCTCTGAAAATTGAGTAAATAAA